CTGAGGCATTTCTTTAGCTTTGATTTTGACATATTATTGTAGTGATTGAATTCGTTTCTAGCTTTAACTTGGCCATAATTGGCACTAACATACGTCCACATAGTTCTATTCAAATGATCGATTTCCATATTCAAATTTCCTAGTTCCCTCGAAGTGTCTGTCTGCATACGAAAATATTCGTTTGCCCAGTCCCATTTAGATTTCGACCGTGGGAGTATAACTCCCACTAACAGCGATGGTTTTTGACTTAGAAAAATAGCACTAGGCATTTCGGTCAAAACTTCGCCCGCTACGTTCAAATTAGGGTTGTTCACTTCAACAAATAAGTCCGAAAGGTTGCCGCTACTATTCCCTATATGGCATGATCGACGATGCAAAGTCAACGAGCGATAGCTTAAAAACATACGGCCACAATAGCATCTAAAATTAGAACACTCACCCACCAGCTCACCGTCAGCACTGATATTGACTTGGTGGTCATTCCTTTCTGTATTCGACGAACGTTCGTTATTATTTTGCCTTTCATTTTCAGCATGAGACGGATGACCAACGCGAGATTTGCATCGCCAAATGTGTCTCCCCAAAGATTTAAAATCTTTGCCACAATATTCACAGATTGTCGCTTTAATAGTCCAGAGTTGCCCCATAACCAACCAGAACAACATAATATTTCCCAAATAGAAGCCTTTCATCTTCATACTGAATTTGTAAAAGCTCAAAACTATCGAAAGTGCAGTTAAACAAGAAAGCTTTTAAAAATATAACAGGAGCGCCGAAAGCATGACCGGCCCCGACGCTGATCACTGCTTAATATTAATAATAATAATAATAATAATAATAATAATAATAATAATAATAATAATAATAATAATAATAATAATAATAATAATAATAATAATAATAATAATGAATTAATATAACTGATTTTATTGATTACTTGGACTATTAATTATTGATAAAACTATATTACAGGTATAAAACTAAGATAATAATAATAATAATAATAATAATAATAATAATAATAATAATAATAATAACAATAATAATAATAATAATAATGGAAACTTTATTACTTTCAATAATATAATATACACACTACAATGATAAACCTCTCTTTACAGGTAGTTTACCAGTGTCTACTTGAATTAACACTCTACATGTACATAATAACAATATTAGTATGACATTAGTTGTGGGTTATCCCATTCTTAGTTACGCTTACAAAATATATAATACGAGGACCTGATACATATGTTAATAATTTTCCGAACATAGTACTTTCTACATTGTTCATCAAACTTTAGATCCTTCAGCATTTCGGTGAAATCTAGAGACGGGTGGCTGAAAACTCCTAATGAGCTAATCGATAAATTTACAAATTTCACTTTTTCATAATTTTTGAGCTGTTCGTTAATTAGATCTTGATATTTTTGTCTTTTTCGAGTTGCATTAGTGAGGAGATTAGATTCAAATCCGACGGTAATAATAATAATAATAATAATAATAATAATAATAATAATAATAATAATAATAATAATAATAATAATGATAATAGTAATAATAATAATTTATAAAATCTAAATTGTTGTAGTATGTTATAATATATGTTATAATAAGCAGTTAATTTATGGTAAAAGTCTAAGCCTAAATTTTGGCACGAAAATTGTCTACATCGAAGTCCGTTTCTTGAACGTTCGTTGTTATCCTCCTGGGTGCTCTAGTCCCTCTGAGACAAAGTACAGCTGACCGAAAGATGGAAAAGGAGACCTTGGCTCGTATCCAGGACATGGTCGTAGAGTAGTCTTCGCCTTTCTTCGCTGCTATGAGCTCGGCCAATCTGCTATGATACCTCTTGCACTCCTCACTCATGCCTCCGGTCGTTGTAAATACTAATGGTGTAAAAGTTCCGTGTTCTATCTTCATCACTCTTTGGGCATACATCCTCTTCTTCTCGTTTTCATGTTGCCTGTATATCTGTTGAGGGCTCAGGTCTTTGTAGGATTCCGCGTTGGGGTGACAAACCCTAACGTCAAAGAACGCGGACCTTTGTTTCTCCCAAAACCCTCGAGCGTGGATATCTAGGCGAGCGTCGGATGCTGTATTTGCTCCTCTTGCTAAAACCTCGCCAGTTAACTCTTGAAGAACGGGTTCAACCTCCACATCATTACAGACAATGTTAAGCATATCAGCCTCAAGATCCCGCAGCTCGTTGTGGCGCTGTATGATGAACCCACCTCGCTTGTAGATCATTGCGTGATCAATATTGAAAGTATCGCCACACACGCATATTGATGGCTTATCAGCAATTTTCCACTCATATCTCAGATTTACTGCGTCTCGAAACTCACCCTTGTTCAGATTGTAGTCCATTTCCTTAATGGGGATAACTGTTAGCCAGTTGGATGCACCTTTTTGACTTGCTAGTTCCATAGCACGCCGTGTTTTCGGGGTTAGAGAGTTCTTAATACCATCCCGTTTAGCCTGAAGTATTTCGTTCTTTACATTTCGCGCATTCTGCTGCAGTGTGTGAATAACAGAGTCATCTGGAATTTCGTAGGCTTGTGCAATAATTTTCTCTACCAGTGGCGCTGTGGTCTTTATCGACGTTTCGTACTGCAGTGCTGCATCCTGTCTAGGATTTATAAGGCCAAGACCGCCCATTCGTACTGGGAGTGCCAGGAGATCCCTTTCACTCTTTGTACAGTGATGATCCGTAATTGATGGTATCAGGACATCAGCAATAGCACGCTCCAAGGGCTCCAGTAAATCTTCTATATCTGGAAGTGTTCTAAGAAAATACGTCCATCGATGGCGGAGGCCAAAGGTGAAGGCGGCATTGCAGGCTTGAGGGTGCGACGCTGCGAATTCAGCTAGCTTGACGAATTAGCTAACCCAGTCCTCTACCTTGCCGTTGATGTATTCTTCCAGGAAAGCCATAGAACCCAAGGCTGCGCCCAAATGCTTTTGCCCCTGCGCAGAGATATTGATCGCTGTCCCATCAAAAATAGCATGAGCACTTTCTTCTTTTCCAGGCTATATGATCAGCCAGCATTTCTTAGCATTTGGAAAGTATCCCAAATTAGGGCCAGCTTCATTCAGGTGTTCCCACCATCGCTTGATATCTTCCAGAAATCCCGCGCCACTCGCGTCGTCAGCAAACCAACATTGCTTAACATTGCTTGACACATTCAATCCGGTGATCAGGGGTTGAAGACTGATGGCATACATCCCCATGGCCAGGGGATTATTATTATTATTATTATTATTATAAATTTCCAAACTAGCAGTAACAACTGAATTACTTTGGAATTACAGGGTATAAGAACATAGGTATTTAATCTATTCTATATTTACAGGTAAAAATAGGTAAGTTAGATAAAAATAACGATAATAATCTAAAGTTTACGTATTATTATAAGCACGAGACGCAGCAGGAATGAAACTGTTCGAAAAACGTTCAGTTCTACACCTAGGTACTAATAATTTGTTATAAGACCTCAGATTATAAGTTTGAAGACTTTTAGGCGGTACTAAGGCATTCAGTTTATGAGTGGGTTCCAACATCTTCGAAAAAAGTCGCTTGCAATGGACAGTTCTACGTTCGTAAAGAGTCATCAAGTTAGCTTTAAGCAAACATTCAGCATAGATAGTTCCAGGGAAAATAATTTTTAATGCCCTTTTTTGTATTTTTTCAACTTGATCACTCAGGTAATGAGGAAGGCCATAATGCCACACCTGACAAGCATATTCGACAATTGGTCGAATATGTGTACAATAGGTTGAGATCAGAATATGAGAAGGTAAAGCATTTCTTTTAAGAAGGCGCAGACCGTACAAACGCTTCGCGGCTTTCTTGCAAATGTAGTCAATATGGCAGTTCCATTTGAGGTCGTCCGAAAGGACAACGCCCAATAGTTTGGCCTCGGAAACGACGTCGACCTCTTGACCGCGAATGGTAATAGGGGCAAACGATGGAGTAAGCTTAGAAAAGCAGACACGCAATTCTTTGGTCTTTGATACGTTTAACTTCATATTATTGTCTGATGACCATTCAGAGCAGCTGATGATGTTAGCGGGTAACTGGGAAGGGGAATTGTTTGATATTATTTCCCAAAGGCTAGTATCATCGACAAATTTAACAGTTTCATCCACTACAGCCAAGTCATTTATCATGATCAAAAATAATAGCGGGCCAAGCTTCGTTCCTTGTGGGACGCCGGCGTTTAAAAACTTCCACTCAGAAAAGAACTGACCAACACGGGTTCTTTGTTGTCTGCCTGTTAGGAAGTTTGCGATCCAGTTGAGTAACACGGGATGAATTTCCATGTCTTTCAATTTTTCCAACAGAATGTTATGATCTAATCTATCAAACGCCTTGGCAAAATCAAGTAAACAAATCCGTATAGTGTTGCCTTGTTTGTCAGCTGCTTCAAACCATTTATGTAGCATGTAGATTAATGCCATACTAGTGCTTGAACCCTTCAGCGAACCAAATTGCAAGGAATCAATTTTTTTTGAGACGGAGTCAAGTAGCCATTTGTAGGGAAAGGATTCAAGAATCTTGCTGATAATTGGTGTGAGGGAGATTGGTCTGAAGTCAGAATCAACATCTTTAGGAGGCGAAGATTTTTGAACTGGTGTAATATTTGCTGCCTTCCATATTGAGGGAACAAATCCTTCACGAACTGATGAATTAAAAATAGAACACAAAGGTCGACACAACACTGAAGCGTTTTCCCGGAGAAGCCAAGAAGGAATTTCATCGGGACCAGCAGATGAATGAAGTTTAGATGATAATAGGGCCTTTTCAGTCTCCTCGACAGAGATGCAGAAATCATCTGGAATGTCATTTGTGGGAAGGGGGAGCCAGTTTAGATTGGGTAAGGAGGACCCTACAGCAACGAACTTGTCGTTGAGCAAATTTGCTAAATCGGCATCAGAGTAGGATTTACCTTGGAACATCATTGTAGATACATTCTTAGAAGACTGAAGACCGGCAATATTCTTCACCGCTGACCACCATTTACGAGAATCGGACTGTTGAACGCCCGCGATACTTTTATTGTAGTAATTTAGTCTTGCTTTTTTGCAAAGTGCATTGACTTTGTTTCGATAGAATCTGAACATCAGGTTATTGCCAGCCGCCCATGCTGTTTGCCGCTTGGAAATAAGAGATTTTATTTCGGAAGTAATCCAAGGCTTGTCACTAGAATCAATTTTGATTTGTTTCCAAGGCAAATGTTCGTTTATGATATTATCAACGATGGTGGAAAAATACTGGAACTGCTCGTCACAAGATTCCATATGGTGCAAAGGTAACCAATTAACTTTCGACAGATGATCGCTAACAATTCGACGATTGGTTGGGCGAGAGTCTCGTACTAAACGTGTAGACCTTGTGCCACCATAAGAGTTAGCTGGAAGAGGTTTAAGAACGATGGAATTATGATCGGAATGTCCAATTGGAGAAATTACCAGGGCAGAATTATAAAATTTAGAAATGTTGGTAAATATTTTATCTAAAATATTCTTTCCTCTAGTAGCGTCTTTGACTAACTGCTTGAGGTTAAAGGAACTGCATAACTGGCGATGTTTAAATTGGTTAAAATCTCCGGCCAAAATAATTCCTGCACCGGGATTGGTGGAAAGGACAGAATCGATTGATTCGGTAAGGTGTGAAAGAAGGGCTTTATCGTCACTTCCAGGTGGATGGTACACGATTCCCAATACAATTGAATTTAAACCACGAGGCAAGCGGTGAGGTTTTAAGAGTAACCAAAGCGACTCATATTCGTGACTTTCAATCTCTTTAAGATGAATGAACGGAAGCATGTCCTTTACAAAGACACAGACTCCACCTCCTCGTCTGCCGTCGGAACGATCATGCCTCAGTAAGGAATAACCGCATAAATCTATTGCTGAATTAGGAACATTTGAAGAAAGCCACGTTTCGGTAACAACGACAATGTCTGATGTATAGGATTTTACTGTAGCAGACAGTTCGTCAATCTTGCTGATCAGCGATCTTGAATTAGAAACAAATAAATTCGGTAGAGAAGAGAGTAAGGGCGTTTTTTTGGTTTGGTGGCCACTAATATAAATTAAGTTATTTCTACGGTTGAAACTTTTCCCTGGTACTGGAACCGATTGATGCTGTAGTGTTCTTAATTGACTAGGTTTTGCATTTATTTTTCTTTGAAAGTTTGATACGCGATGGGTTATTCTCACAGGAATTTTTTGAACAAGAAGTTCAACGAGAATCGAACTGTAATTTTCATGCGATTCTCTCTCATTTTCTTTAGAATTTACTTTGCCGTCAGCCGGCGAACAAGATTTAAATGCGCCAACCATTCCGCTCTTCGAACATGAGGCAAGGGCGGGGGACGCTCCGGGAAGCTCTGCCGAAAAGGACAGTTATTAGTATTGTCACACTCAGACATGCATTCGTCGCCGTCTAAGACAATAAATTCAGAAATATCAGCTGGTATTTGGCCAATGCACACATGCATCTCAGTGCTAGTTGTACTATCATTCAATATATTTGATGGGTTTTCTAAAAAGGGTTCCTTCTTCTGAGTTATACATGGCTTGGATATTTCGATAAGAGGCAAGTTTCCAAGCGATTTCAGCGACAATGGCTCACAGTAAGGGGGAGAATTAAGATTGCGTCGAGAGTAACTTCGCGAGACCTTAGCTTTACTGATTTTGTCGTTATTCATATTATGCTCCGTTAACTTCACTTTGTTAATTTCACATTTGTTGTCGAGTTTATTGTTGTTTCTATTACAACTTGCTGGTTGGACAATTAAACATGAATTATCAAGGGGGCTTTCAACGCTGACAGTTTCGGGAATAAATGGTTCACCTGGTAAACAAATTCCTAGGTTTGAATTTGCAGTTTCTATCGATTTTACAGTGTCTATGATGCAGTTATAAGTATTAATTTGTTCAGGTTGGTTTGACAGGCTTTGTTCGGCACTCAATACACCATTGAATTTTTCTGAATTAATTTGCATTAGCGATTGTCTTAGAGATTCATTTATGACATCGCTTGATTTAAGTTTGTTTTCGAGACAGGTAATGGTATTTTTTAATTCGTTTATTTCCCTATTCCTTCCTCGAACCAAAATAGATATATCAGCCTCCAACTGACTACATTTCTCCTTTTCCTTAAGAAGCTCGTGTTTAAGTTCACTTATTTGTTCACTATCACTATCCCGTGAATTGTAAGCTGCAAGAAACTTAGTTTCTATGTCCCTGCACATGATTGCTATATCGAGCTTAACTCCCTCCAAATCAGCAGCTAAAATTCTACACTGACAGCCAAGTTTGAAATCATGCTCTATACTGACCTTTTGATGATTATCAGTTTGTTCAAAGTCCTTAATACAGTGATTAGACATCTGTTCGGGTTCATCGTTCGGGCATCCCAACGCAGACCGAAATTGGAGGACTACTATCAACCATCGGACGAGATGAAAAGATACGCAGTGTTGACAGTGGGTATACTGGGTGTTGGGGGAGCCTATGGATTAACACGAATATTTTAAATCCTACCATTTGGATTTAAAACTTTATGTTGTCATGAGGAAGCAGCTTATGGTTGTAGTTCCTGTTCTGCTGGTTACATTTCCGGAAGAGTCTACATCCTTGGATTCTAGACCAAAAATTTGTACCATAGAATTTGTTGTATCGCCAGTAACGAAAAATGTAAACGAGACCTGTATAATCCTACTGCTCTGATCACGTGTAAAAAGGACAATGGTTCCTGCACTGCCCACGTAAAACCCGTACAGGGTGGAGGATGTTGCCGTGTTATTTCCGTCACTAACATTAAACCTAATGAATTTTGCGTTCCCCTTTATCCGAATCGGAAATATTAGAAGTTTGAAGAAATCCGGGTGGATACCCAGGTGTTTGTGTAAAATCGTACTGTACATAATTTTTCCCGAGGCTATTCAATTTTACAATCTCGTCCGTATTTTTAGCAACTTCTGCTGTGTTTCCCTGTTGTCCCTTTTCAACTACTGCTAGTTTCTGTTTTAGGATATCCAGGTCTTCTGTTGTATCAAAGTAATCGTATCCGAATAAGATGCTCATTTTTATTTAACGTCGAAATACTAGGTATGCAAGTCCAAAGGATGCTACTGCCGCTGTCCCAAGAGCAATATTTTGTGTATCAGACTTCTCCCTTAATTCAGGGGGTTTGAAGTCCTCCACAACAGGAACCGGTGTAATGTCATGGCTTTCGTCTACATCGTTCGTGGGAGTAGGAACAGGATTACTTGTATAATTCACCTTCTCGTTTTTTGGGAACGTCATCCCGTTTTTAGCTATCGTTAGGACGTTACTGAATCCTGGGATAGGTTTCACTAGAATTCTTAGGTCTGAAGGAATAAGGATTAAACCCGGCATAATAGCAAAATTTAGGACGACGTGGGTATTGGCGATAGCCGTCCTCATGTCGGAAATGGTAACTGTTACGTCGTCTTGAACAATTGTATCCTTTACCACCTTCCGGAAGACCTCCTGTGTCTGCAAACTCTTTGCACCCTGACCCGTGATACTCCATCGGGTTTTGGCCTGTGCCCCTAGGACGGAATACACAAATGCTTCGATAAACTGCTGGAATAATTTCTGTCCAACTTTGGTAAGTCCTCGGGATGTTCTGGGAATAAGGGTTTTATAATAATTTTCAACGTCAAAGGGTGATCTACCGATCAGGTATTCATATTCGATAAATGAACCTCCATATTTGGTCAGACGGTACTTCTGTCGCCGTATCCTCCTCTGTTCGCTTACGGGTAAGCCGTAATACCATGTTCCAAGGTTTGCGTGGGAAGAGACGGTCCTCCTAACCCATGTCTCACGTACAGGCATGTACTTCCTGATGGTTCGTATATCATCTCCTGTAAGATATTGTTCCAGTAGTTTGGGATTACGCATAAACCTCGATAGGTGAAAGTGAAGATGGAATCGGACAATGGAGGTTACTATGTTGGAGTGTGAATTGGGAAAGTTGTCCGTAAGATGATCCTCGGAAATTCCGGATTTAAACATAGCAACATAGCATGCTGCTAGGGAACAGAAGTAGGAATTGGAATGGTAATCGAAGGGTACAGTGTTGATGAAGGCTTCGGGAGGTTTATCGTATGATGGCTTAATAGGCTCCAGTTTTGTCAGGAAATTCTCGGTCTCCGTAACATAAACATTAAAGGTATGCACATCCATCTTGAAATCCTTATTTGGGCGGAAGATCGCATCCGGAAGAACACTTCGCCATCCCTCTACCCAGTATAGGTACCTGGTCCACTCCGGATTTGTACGGAATGTGTCGGATGTAATATCATAGCTTGTGAGACCATCCACCTTATAGAAGATGTTCCTGGAATCCACGGTTCCGTCCTTGGCAAAGGTAACATTAAAGTCGAACTTGGATAGGGTTGCATTGGGATGTTGTTTCATGAAGTTCGCCTTCATTTTACGGATTTCGACGGGTACTGCCGCTTTAACCTTTTCGTAATTCTTTCCGTAGTAGTTCCAAAACATTTCCTCACTCATCCTTTTATTTGATATAAAGTTCTAGCAGGACATCCCCAGGAACGGCTCCGGTATTAGATCCGATTTCGAACCGAATTTCATTGTACTTGCCAGCATCCCCCCGTACTTGGCTTTCAATGTCGTTGTATTTCGTTGTGGTCCCAAAGAGGGGTCTTGTTCCATCGATGGGAAGGGAAGTGATGACGGTACTCCTATTTCCGTACGGTCTGACGTTATGCTCACGGTTCACAAGGTTACAACTGACTGTAAGGTAACGCAAGCCTTCGTGGATGTCTACGGGACGATCGCTGATGTGTGGGGTGTATGTAGAGCCATTGGAAGATCGGTATCCCAGAATACCCATACGATTCCGAAGTCCTGCTGAACTCGTAACCTTAGCGAAGTCGATCCTTATCCTTCCATCGGGATATTCCTTAAGTGTTAATCCATTTTCCTCCAACTCTTTCCTAAGCTGCTTGAAGGTCCAGTATCCTTCATCTATCATAATCTTCTTCCCATCTACGGAAATGTAGTCATTATATCCCTTGCGGATGTTCTTATAATTCCAAAACACAGCAGCAGTCTTTACGTAAAGTTCGGATC